TTTGAAAGACAGTCTTAGCTTATACTTGACGTGAAATTTGTCTTGTAAAGTGCCTCCACCAGTCATTGAGTGAAGATTTCTCAGGAATCCGTAGTGGAATTTAATGCAGCAAACCCGAACTTCTTACAGAATTGTCAACAGCCCCTTTCTGGCTGCAGAGTCCAAGTCAGTACGTTGTCACATCCGTTGTGGTGACCTCAAGCAGCTCATGCTCCCTTCTTGCAATTCTGCAATACAGAGGTCATGGTGGGTTCAAGACCTTAATCTGAAAGGAGTGAGTAAAGGAAGACCCAGAGGTCATTTGACTGGTAACAGTACTAGGAATCTGTTTAATATTCGCTGCAGCTAATCTGTTCGTTACCAGATGGAAAGGTACATTCATTCCCCATGAGAAAGTCACATAGTGCCATAGGTACTGATTCAGGAGTGACTCTCTCTTGATTTCCAGGCAGTAATTTTCTCTGTCAGGTCAATAAAATGTGATTTGTGGCAGAGAGAATCTATCCAAGTCATTTGGAAAGGCAATGGCCTTTGTTACAAAGGGGCACAAAAATATAATGCCAGAAAAAAGAAAGACAAAGAAGAAATCTCTAGGGAATTGTGGTTAGCCCTGTCTTTTGCTGTCTAGCTTCTTTGTTTTAGTTTTAATCTGGAGAGAGAAGTTAGAAAATAGAAAAAAGGGGGAAAGTAGCTGAATGCATCTTCATAATGAAAGAAACTGCTGAAATAGCATCAGAAAGCTCTTTAAAATGCAAAACTTGCTGCTGATCTGCTATGCAGAATAGAAAAAAACCCAATCACTTAAAGGTGGTGCTAAACAGGCTTTCCCTTCATCATCTCTTACTTCTTCTGATGCCAAAGATAAAAAGCACTTTCAGAGGGAAGATGTTTTCATAATAAAGGCACAAATACTGCAGGAGATGAGAGACAGATCACTCTTCACAGCGTCTCCAGCTTCTGTTAGAAACTTCCTTAGACTACTGTGGGCAGGACTCCCAGATGACAGACAGTTCAGTGACCTTCCAGAAGCATTGCAGAACCCTGCAGGAAAACAGAGAGATACTTTTATCTATCAAAAATACTTAAATAAATATACCTTTTTAAGTAAAAAGAATTGGAGTTCTAATATGATCCAGTTTAATTTTTTTTATTCTCCCTTCTGTCCTCCCTCCATTATTCCATGCAACAGTGTTTTAGGTTGTCCCTACCAGTCCCGTGTTTCCCTCCCTTTTAGCCCCATATGAGAACGGATGAAAATAGTTTTGCCAAGTTTGCACTGATTGGGCTTTACATAATAAAGTTTTGCAAACTCCAAAACCAAGTTGACTGATGTTATTTCTGTCTGAGTTAATCTGAGCACCACTTAACCCCTACCCTTTTTTTGTGAGGGGCATCTGCTTAGCAAATCAGACCTTACGTGTGGCTTGCTAACGTTATAAATTGTAACAGAATCAGTACATCTGGATTTGTTCTCCAAGGCTGAGAAATACTTTTTATTTATTAAGTGACACTGTGAGAGACAAGGGCAAGGGAAGCAAACCCACTTGCTCGCGTTCTGCTAGCCTGCTATAGCTAAGCTTAGCCAAGATGTGTTGCTTACAGAAGCTGTAGACTATGGAATAGCTTTAATTGAACATTTCTCGAGGAGTATCCTTAATCCTGTACGTAGGGAGAGCACGCACCCGTTGTGAATTACATGCTGAGATACTTTTTCCCTTTCATCCCCCATATAGCACTAATTGGGAGGTCTGTTGCCTTTCCTTGTCAAAAGCAATCAATGTTGCTTCAAGAATGGATACCTGAAAGAACAATAGTTAAAATGCATACAGTGATACAGTACAGTTTAAGCTTTCCTCCTCCTGTACTCTCTGTGCGCTACCTCTTTATTAGAAGGAAAAGGTATTTATTTATACAGGATCAGAAGAAAGAGCATGTGTAAGGACATTAGCAGTACTTGTACTTGGAGAAGAGAGTAATGTTTTTCTCAGTGCAATTCATAAAGGCCTGCCACTATTGCTGATGCATGCCCAATAATAAATATTAACCTGTAGCAATTTTAAAGGCTACGTGGTAGCTATAGCAGCCACCTCCTTAGGACGCTGTATATATTTGTTTAGCCATTTGTTAGTCCCATACTCATGAAGGCATATAGCAGCTTTACAAATACAGATGGAGATTGGATCTCAGCCCAGAACCATTTAGAAATTGCATTTTTGCTACTATTGTTACTGTGTTTTTTCCCTGACAGTCGCATTTGTTCTGTTACTGACAACATTGGGCTTTACATAATAGTAAATCATACATCTAGACCAGACCTGGTCAGTTGAAGCCGAGTATGTTATCAGAAATCTTTTATCAGCATGTGCATGTGGGTTACTATGTGCATAAATAAACAACTTGTACAACTAACTCAGAAAGTTCATTCCTTTGCCTTTGGGATGAAGTCCACAGAAATGAATGGGATGGAATCAGTCTCAGGATGGCAATGGTTACTGCTCCAAGCAGAATTAAATGGGATCTTATTGATGAGCCTCCCAAAAGCTTCTGCTCAAAGGAAGATAGGGATGAAGAACAAAGAGACGTATCTGAAGCCTCTTTGTCAAACGTTCCAGACATAGGGTCTTCTCCCCCAGGCCCACTCACTACTTCCCATTTGGCTTTAGAAGTTGTTCTGTGCTCCAAGCGCAGCACAGTTCTCTGTTGCTGACCAAGGCTCCCTGGGTTGTGTTGTTTACACCAGTGGGGGAGAATGGACAGAAAGAGTTCAGTTGACTTTCCTGAGGTTACACAGGAAGACAGAAATTAGAGTTTGTGTCAGATAGGACTTCCTTGTACCCTGAACTTCATTGAGGATGTTGTGTCATAGGTGGCATTCATATGTGTTATATTGTTTAGATGTGAATTCCTTTTGACTTCAGCCATCTAAGAACTAGGTGTCTGGTCTAAGATACTTCACAGGGTCTTCATCTCTGGTGAGAAGACATGGGCAGCTGCAGGAGGAGGGGTAGTAACTACTGCCAAGCATCTAGAGAGGGGAGTCACCCACTGGCCATTCCTATTTCCATGCATCTGAGGCAGTGGCTAAACAAAGGGCTTGCATTAGATATTGGCAACTCAAATACAGGAGCTGAATCCCCCCAGTATGTCCTAGCGGCTGTGTACAGCTCTTGGCAGAAATGACTCTCTGATCAGGAACTCAAGGCTGTAACTCCTGACATGTACCCTTGCTTGTCTGTGCAGTTTGAGTTGTTTTCATGAGAAACATTTTCATGATGCTTCCTCTCCCAGGCTGAAGCTGATGCAATGGCACCATAGAAAGCAAGAGCAGCCCATCTAGGAAAGGGCTGTGAATGACTGCATGGTATTATATATTGTATTATGCACCTCTGTTGCATAGTACTCTTAGATTAGATCAAACAGTCATTCTGAAACAGCCTAGTGTGAACTAAACCCCTTTCTCTATTGTCATTCAAATTAATACATGTAAAAATAGGACACACCGTTCATAGTGATAGAATGAAGACATTTCTGCCACCTTCAGACTCTTAAACCTGTCTTAGATGGTCTGAGGGAGAAGCCTAAACAGACAGATGGGTCAAGTATTAGAGTACTTAATACAGTCAGTATACTGACTTAATGTTTTCAGTCAACAGAGCCCAGAAACAGCATAACACTGTTAGGGAATAAGTCATAGAAACGTTTGCATTGTGTTCTCTGAAGTTTCCTTCTGGTATCTCACCATCAAATATTTTACCAGAACGTGCGCAGTGCCTAAATCTGACGGAGGATAGAAACAGGATGTGTATGTCAAACTGGGAACAGTTTAGCTCCTGTGTCTGTGGTCACAAAGGATGTCCATCTGTTTGACTAGCCTGGGGACATAAGCATTTCCAGCTGATAATCTTCATTTGAATAAAATGGTATTGGGAAGGGGAGTGGGGATAAAAGGGAGCAGATGATAATATAAATATATGTCCAGGTGGGGAGACGCATTGCCACCAGTAACGATACTCGTTATGGGTGATGAAATAGAAATGTGACGGGATGGAGCAGGAGCTGGGTTTGCTGTTAATTTCTGCAGACATACCAGCTCATTTAGTAATGTAACAGCTCCCATTGCTAGCCACTTAATGCGTGATTAATGTGCCACGGGATTTCCCCAGACATCTATGTCACCTTTAGGAATAGATATGACAATGACTTTATCACGTGGAGTCACTTCATACTATCGGCATCCCTCTTAATGATTTATATATTCAGGAGTGATTTTATCACTAGCTCTCAGTAACGTAATGAATGAGAAAACTCAATGGTCTGTAAATTACAACATTGATTAAAGAAGTGATTACTGATATAACTCTTACATGGCTATGATAATGCTTGCTTATATTTCAGGACAGCATTTACATGTTAGTGATAAATCTACTGCAGGGTTTAGAAATACTTTACAGCTTTAATCAAAATGTAAACATCTATAAACAGATAATGTTTATTGTGGAGGAAATGAGTAGACTTTTGTTACTCTTCAGTAGTTGAAATCCACTCCAGAGCCAGCTTTGTCCTGCAGACTGAAAGCAGCGTCACCGCTGATGAACGTACTCATCAAGGTAGAGCTTTGATCTGCTGCTTGCCTCCATTGAGACCTGTTTTGGTTTGTCGGGTTCTTCTTGACCAAGCTGTGAAGGAGCCTTGCTCATTATAAATTCCACAGCACTGTGATCGCTAGTGGCTCACTGCATAACAAACAGAAAGTCAACCACCAGCTTCAGAAATAGTATCCAGTCTTTAGGCATCTCCAGCATAATTATGCCTCCTGAGCCAGTGAAGGATTTTTGTGTTCAGCTGCTCCCATTGTGAAAGGCCGTCATTAACATGCATAAAGAAAAGGGAGCCTTTTTTGTTTGTTTTTGTTTTTGAGATGCCAGGGTTACACTTTGAGCTTGCTTTGTCACAGTGATTACCTTTTCTTCTTTCTCTTTCTCTGCCCCCTGACCCCTTAGGTTTCTGACAGATGTGACTATGTTTTTGTCAATGGCAAAGAAATGAAAGGCAAGGTGAATGCACTTGTGAACTTCACATATCAGTATCTGGGTGCCCCTCTCCAAATGACAGTCTGGGTTCCACGCCTGCCGCTTCAGATTGACATTTCGGACACAGAACTGAGCCAAATAAAAGGCTGGCGTGTCCCCGTTGTTTCCAACAAAAGGTAGGTTTGTGTTGCTAAATTTCTTGGGTGTTTTTGTGGAGTTGATTTGATTTAACTCTCGGCAAGAACAGCTGCAGCACCTGCACCCAAAATGCAGCATCTTTCCCTGAGGAGCAGCAGTACAGGAATTCCCAGTTTTGCACAGGACATCTGCAGATATAATAAAGTTTTTAAAATTTGTGGGAGTTTTGCTTCTGTGCATGTGTCTGTCCTGTGCAGCTGAGTTCAGTGTGGTGCTCTGCTAAGGTCAGTTTATAGAGTTGTTGTTAAGACATATCAGCTTAGATGAAGTACTATATGTCTGTTGATGTGGTCCTTCACCATGCTAGGTAACCGTGAATCAGCAATGGTCCAAACACAACGGAAGGGAGGGCTGCTCTGTAAGGGGGTGCTCTCCATTAGCACTCTATGTTAGTTTTCACTAATGTTCTTGAAAACATTTCTTTATGCTTCATTTTCTTACGGAAAAAAAGACCCACCAGAGACAGTGATGACGAGGATGAAGATGAGCGGAAAGGAAGAGGATGCACTTTGCAGTACCAGCATGCCATGGTGCGAGTCCTCACACAATTTGTAGCTGAGGATTCTAGCCCTTGGGGTCAGCTGAGCTACCTGCTGGGCTCAGATTGGCAGTTCGACATTACAGACCTGGTGATGGATTTTATGAAACTGGAGGATCCTCACATTGCCAAGCTGCAGGAAGGCAGAATTCTGATCGGACGGGAAGTGGGAATGACAACAATGCAGGTACTGTGCTCTAGACTGCCACATTCTGCCATTCCCATAGAGAACCTGTGTGTGAGCATAAATCCAGTACAGTGTTAAGCTATCTTGAGGCAGGATAATTTCCCATTGCCTTCCTGTGACCTTCTAGGGTGTCACACACAGCATTAACTCAACAACAGTGATCCAAGCTAAAGGTAGTCTAAGGCACGCAGCATGACCGGGAGCTAGAAGCCGTAGAGCCTTCAGAGATGTTTAGGCAGCACTTGCAGACTTAGTGAGAAGTCAGAACTCTTGCCCCACATGGATGCCAATTGCCACCAGTCATCTGATGAGCTCCATTTTGACTTTTTGAGACAGAGATCTTTAGCTTGTGCCAAGTTTCTTTTGACTTACTTAAACATTAATTCAGGGGGGAAAAAAATACAACCTGGTTAATAACCCTGAAAAGCACAAGTGGCCAACACTATATCCCAGTTCTGTCCCAGCTAAATCCTTGCTAAAGCCAATGCACAGGGAGTGAATATAGCTAATCTAGGCTGTAGATATGAGATGGGGAAGGTGGAGAAGACAGTATGTGCATGAGCTAGCTATCGTTAGTTCCCTAAAGATAGCAGTATGGCCCTTAGTTTCATTAAAGGGAAGGATATCCCACTACCTTGATGTTCCATCAGAAACAGAAAAGATAAATGAGAATTTCCAAGGAAAGAAGTGAAGGACAAATCCGAGATGTTGCTAACCTCCCTTTGAAATGGTTGGGAAGTTATGAGCTCATCCATACTGGGACACAGGATAACAGGGGAAGAAAGTTTTAAATCAACTCTTCTAGTGAAATGTTGCAAATAACACAACTGAGATAGTATAGCTGTCAGTATTGGATGCAATGTTCTCAGCCATAACCTCTCTACTGAATGTTTTTCTGACTCTACTAATGAAATCAGACTGCCTTTTCAGCGTGCTGTGCCATTTCATTTCTATGCGTGAAGCTTTGGAGACAAAAAGGGATGATGACCTTAAGAAAGGTTATTTTAATTGATCAGCCTTTTCCTAAGTTGATTCCTTTCTGTTTCTCCAAAGGTTTTGTCTCCGCTGTCCGACTCCATCCTGGCAGAGAAGACAGTGACTGTGTTAGATGACAAAGTGACCATAACAGACCTTGGAGTCCAGCTGGTAGCTGGGTTGTCACTCTTTCTTCAGCCAAGTGCAGCAAGTAGTCGGGCTATTGTGGCTACAACCGTTGCCCAAGAACTACTTCATACTCCTAAGCAGGTACTGTACAGTCCGTATTTACTATTATTGCCTTTTGGGATGGGGCAGTGTTTTATCAATGTGAGGTACAGATGATAGCTCATAACAAGTTTAGAAGGTAGACTTCAAAGTATAGGTGTAGTACATGTCCATGTCAATCACTTTCCTCTAAAGGTACTCGAATTGTCTTCTCATTTCTTCCTTTCAAATATGGACTTAATCTGCAGTAAAAGTTCTGATGATGCTGAAGTTTATATTATTTACATTTTTAATACCTGTTCTTTAAATGGTGCAGCATCTGTTATTTTCGCGACACAGTCAGTCTTTGGACAGTGATCCTTGTTTGCTATATGAGCATGCCCTTATTTTCCATGCCAGAGAGCACAGAGCTCTGCATGTCACAACAATTTAGTATTTTGAAGAGCTATAAAATAGAGGCAGGAGATAGCCAAATACATTTCTTTTCCCTCCTGGAGTCACGGCAGGTTGCCAGGCTCCTATCTCCTTTTACTTTTTAGATGGATTTTGAGGGGTTCATCATTCAGTTCATGTGCTGATCCTACTTCATTTAAGCCAGCAAACTTCCATTTCTGTAAAAGGAGTCTTCCAAGCAGCGTGTTTCAGGTCACAACCCACATGGAAAAGACGACTGGAGAATACCACCAGATCGAGATGAGCAGTTGCTCTGGAACAGATTAAAAATGAGGGTCAGTAGCAGTGGAACAAGCTGTATGTTCATTGCTCTTTCAGTCAGCTGATTTGAAGAGTGGGACTGGAGACCATGCAATTAACTCTGTTCACAGCTACTCCTCTCACAGAAACTGTATTTCTTCTCTTATAGATAGGGAGAGATCTCAAGTCAAGTTTTACGGCCCATTTTCATGATTATTGCTACCTAATTTTCTGGAACATAAAAATAATTCAGATTGGTTTATAACTTAGTGACAGGAAAATGTCCAAACTAGGAGGACATGCTGCCCATCTGTTCCATTTACTGCATCCTGTAAACATAAGAATCTTATGTAATTAACCCATTTATACCCTTCTCCGGGGCTTAGGAACCATGTCTGACATACTGTCTTCAGGCAAAGACTGTAAAAGCAAAAGCTAAAGCTTGCCTAACCCAATTCTGTTATGTAGGACAGAGCATCATTTGTCCTGCAGCATCGTTGGAAGAATCAGGGCTTTGATTGCTGGTAAAAGAGGTTGTGAATCTGGAAAGGTTGCACAGATATATTGTCAACTTCTCAGGTTTATAGATGATCTGTCCCAAGTATGCAAAGATATTTGTCAGCATCAGGTTATGGCATATTATGACAGGGGCATTTCAGTAGTGCACAACATGACATCTCCTATTGTATTATGGCTTGGCAATATGATACGGCATGTCATAATATATCACTACAATTGGCAAGTCATGAAATAATACAAAAGAATAAAAATGTGTAAACGTGGTTTGTTTTGAAATTATTTTTCCTAGCATCTGTGTTATGGAATGATTTTAGTGAAATACTTTGTTGAAGCTGATGTTCTTTTGCAAGACAATTTCAGTTTCCTCAGAGTGGCACATTTGTGATATAGAAGTGACTGGACATATCAGGCTCCCTTTCTGAGCAATGCCTTCTGCTACTGGTACTGCTAGGCAGCGTGGGATGCTGCAGTCCCTGCTGTCCGCTTCCTGGGCCTACAGACAGCAGTATTGCATTATGCTCATTGAAGATACAGCTCTAAAACAGGAGGCAAGAGAAAATCAAGCACCTTTTTCTCAATAAAAGAAATTTAAAATGTTTTCGTTTCTTCTCCAGACTGCATCTGGAAAAAAAAAACAGGACCTAGACTCTATTAGAAGGCAGTGGAAACCCTTCTCTACACCAGGAGCCGGAATGCCCAAGGAAATCTGGTTGCTTAGTAGCAATCCCAAATTAGTCGTTTTTCCCACTCTTTCTATGCGTGGCATCTTCTGTCCCAGTTTCCTGCAAACAGAGCAGTATGTTCTTGTGGAATCCCACCTAAGTCTCTGCCTCTCCTCCCAGCTCCTCCAGTCTGGAGCCTGGCCACCCCCATTGCCCCTGCTTGTGAGAAGCGTCCTGCCTGCTTCCCAGCTGAAGGTTTTGCTGGGAGCATCACTCCTCACTTTGGAGAATTTGTGAGTCAGTCCCTGCTCAAGCACTGTGAGAGTTTGCAGACCTGATCCTGGTCATGCCAGGTCGCTGTGGAACCTGAGCACAGTCCCGAGTTACTGGGACACTTCGGCAGTGCCTTTATCCCAGAAGCCTGAGCTAATTCCACACACTGTGCAATTCACATCCTACTTTACTGTAAGCCACTCATTTGTTCTCAGGCCTAAATCTGACTTAGCCTATAGACAGGGCTTGCCCAAGGAAGTGCTGTTGAAAAGAGACCTTGGGGACTTCGCATTTACATCACCAAAAAAATAAGACGGGAATAGATTTCACACTAGAAAATAGGAAATTGTTGAAGGAAATATTCTTAGCATAGGGGTGGCCTGTAGTGACATACATCTTTTCCTTTCATTTGCCATTCGAATGGAAGATATAACATTTAAGTCACTTGCCCTTAGAAGAATTTATGCAAACGTAGGAATGCCTGTGGCTCAGTTTTGCAAGAAGTGACTCATGATTTGGAGTGCGCCAGCTGAGATCCTTACTGAGCTGGAATTTCAGAAGGGAAGTGGTGAGTGTTTTCTGAAAATCAAACCCTTTTGAAAGAGGGTTTTTCTTCAAGTGGGCAGCCCAGAACTAAGCATATACTTGAATGTTGCAAGGACTTCATTATTTAAGTGTGTCTTTTCCTCTCAAGCAAGTTTATAGAAAGGCCCAAATAACTCATGCAAACCTTACTGATGAAACTGAAAACCAAAATAAGTTAAGATAGCTGAAGGTTTTCTCAGGAATGATTGTGTATGTCTCAGCATTGTTATATGTCAGTCAGTGTGTTCTTAGTCAAATGTTTTCCTTGGCTCCACTTTAGCACCTTCAATAGCCAAGCTTCAACACAGATTAGCAAATGTCCTTGGGTAATTGGTTCTCTGACAGGCACAATATTGTCCCTGGGAGATTAAGTAATACATTTGTACAGTGCAATGGAAGGCATAAAGCATTATACAGATTGTGCTATTACACATCTTTCAATATCATAGGAATGAATTTAGTATTTTTGCAGTGACTTTCTTTCAACGATTGTAACGACTAGATTAGTTCCTTCATTATAATGACTGCACCATGTCTGCGTAAGTAACATAAAGCAGCCTAAGTCCTGAAAAGTTGGCAGTTTCTCCAAATGCTTTGCAATCTAGAGAGGATAAGCTCTAGATTTTTATCTTGGATGTCTTAAGTTAGATATCTTTATCTATAGTTGGGCAACTAATTACCTGAGGTGACCTTGAGGAATGCTGAGCCCATACTTCCTTTTTTTTTTTAAATCAATGGGGAGCTCATTGGCACTGAAAAGTGGATCAATGATTTAAATGCCTAAAAATAAATGAAGATTGACCAACTTTTAAATGTCAAAATTGAAATATCTTCTGAAAATTTGGAAACTGTAGCTGTGAGCAGTCTATTTTTAGCGGCTATCTGCACAGGTAGGAAAGCGCTTCCATTTGGCTTGCTGATGGTTGTTACAATCAACACTGTCATCTTAAAGGCATCTCCAAAATGTAAATAAAAGAAAACCTACAGTGTTTAAGTGTTTTCTGATCTGAGTAAGCTTCAAGGACTCTTAAATTTCAGCTGGCTCTGCAGGGGAACTCACGGTCATATCATAGCTTTTTCATCACTGTAGGGTATTGCATGTGGTCTAATGAACTGAAATGGGAGAGTGGATAAAATAAAAGAAGGAAAAAAGAAAGCCTTTAATAAATAGCTGTGTGTATAAATATCTCAGTGCTACTGGAAAACTGCAGACATTTTCTTAGGGAAAAAAAGAGCAATATTAGCACTTTCTGAAGGCCAAGTTCTTCTCCTTCACATGTGTAGCTCCTGTTGACATCAGTGACAAAACCCAACTCTGTGAGGTCGTCCATAACCTCAGGGAGTGTCCTCCAAGGTGTCTGCTCTCACTCTGGTAGGAGGTGAGGGTGCTCAGCACCACCTGAATCAGGGTGACAAGCTGGAGTTGCTTGCACATCCCTGCCTTTGGATTGACATGATACTGTCCTGTTTTAGTTTACGTCCTTCATGCAAACTAGTTCTGGGAGTTCACTGACATCTCACAGGTAAGTAACAGATATTAGGAGTATTTTTATGGTGTGGATTCATTACCCCATTCTGGCAGCTTAAATTACACTTAAATTGTATTTATATCTTCTTTAAACTGACAGAGCAATGTAATGGCTCACAAGTATGACAAAGGAGTTAAGCGGCATGGGAAAGGGAGAAAGGATGTATTATTAGATAAGAATCGGAATTCTTCCCTTGCAAATATAAGCAAATTCCCACTGGAAAGGAATGTCACATTAGCAGATTGGACAAAAAGGAGAGAAAGAAATACACAGTAGGGGAATGCATGGTTTGAATTAAGATCTGAGTCTTGGCTGCCTTTCATTTCCACATCATAACGATCAAGCCCAATTTTTACTACACAAGCCACAGGCTTAAAAATAAATGCACATGTAATACTTTGATATTTCATGTGATAAAATTGCTAGGGAAACCCATTTCAGCATTCAAGTCCCCAGATAAAACAATCAGAGTTGGTCTAACAAGCTGCTGAGAACAGTATTCCTTTGCCTTTATTTGAGGGAGGGATGTATTTGTTGTCTGCAGAGCCATCCAGCCATCCGTTTCTTTCCTTTGGTGTCCTGCCTCACTCCGGGACTTTTTGCAGCTGACCCAGCAATTGAGGACTTACTCACAAACCCTTTTATTTGTGCTTTAGTGAATGAAGACCATTAAAAGGGCTCTTTATTCTGGGCATGGAATAGAATCAAATATACTGATCCATCATCACACCTGTGTTTTTAAGCAGCAGAAATCTCTATGACGCGTCCAGTCCTCCACACTTTACTCCCCTGTTTTTTGCTTGAAGAATACAGGATAGCATGCCCTGGTATCAAGCTGACCCCAGCTTTTTTGAGGAGGTAGTGAAGGACACTTTGTAATCACTAACTGTGATGCTAGAGATGAGCTCAGTGGAACATCCTAAGATAAGCAGACTTTCAAATGCTGTGTTATGTTTTAGAGGGCAAAATAATCATCGCTGTGGCTCCCAGATTTTCACAGGCAACTTGTGCAAGTCCCAGCACAGAGGGACTCATTGGGTCTCTGTATGATGGGCTTTTTGCTGAGCTTCCAAAGCAGCTCTGCTTGCCGCATTCAGGTTGCCTTTTGGAGTATGAGCCTCGTCGTTTTATCTGGGTGGAACAGACACAGCCTGCAAACAGTAGTGCTTGTGGTGACTCACACAGCAGGGTTTGAAGTATTCCAGGTCAAGGAATACAGAGCTCCTCAGGGACTGTTGGTTACCATTAGTGCCATGCTACTTCTGTACCCTGGTAATATCCCCTTTGTTTTACCCACCTAAACATAACAAGTGGATAGCAAAGGACGTAAAACTACTAATAAAAGCAAAATGCAAGTTTATCCAAGAAGATTTATCAAGTGGCGTCTTTGGACTGATAAGCAGCAATGTAATTCAAGGCCAGAAAAAAAAGGTGGTGGAACCGCAGCAGATCAAGAAGAACTGGCCAACTCGCTGATCGGCTGTGGGTATACTGGAATGGAGGAAGAGAACAGCAAAGGCACAAGGGAAAATGTAGACAAAACGAGTCTTGATAAAGGAAGTTTTTTATGTGCTATGGGCAAGCAAGATGTTTGATAATCAACAGTGGCTGTGGGAAGCAGTTTCCTTATCTCCTCTGGACTGGATTTTGCTGTCATTAACATGATCTAATGTACATTATCTGACTCATTTCACATCATCGCAGTCACCATATAAATCATCCTCTTCTCTGAGAGACACTGGTACTAATGTGTAGTTGTGGTTCATTTGTTCTGGGAGCGCAACTGAGTATGTGTGTGTGTGTGCATGAGTATGTGCAAGAGAGGAAAAGTGGAGGAAAGAAAGACTGGAGAGCCAGATAATCCCTCAAGCTATTTGTTTATGCTTGATAATTAATGAACACAAGCATTTGTCACCTCAGTGCCGAGGGCACCAGACTAGGGGCAGCAACTTTGCAGGTAGGAAGGCTCCAATCCGTCTTCATCTGCTGATAGTAATTGGAGGACCTTGTCAGAGATTCAGAGGGAATTTATTGATGCAGTACATAGGATTTGCAGAAACAGCTCTTTGAAGGATGTGGTAGTAAATAATTTCTTTTTTCTTTCTTTTTTTCTTTTTAGCTTTTCAGAATTTATGATCATTTGGGAAATTCACTTCCTTCCCCTGCGTTCAGCTTTCCTTTAACGATGTGAATGAGAGGAGATGGTCTCTTGCCAAATAGAACATTTGGGCTGATACAATATACTTTGGCAGGATTTGAGATTCTGTCTCTCTTTCTCTCAGTGGTTTTCTTTCCCTTTTAATTAATACTGTCTGTAGTATAAGCATGACAATGTTGTGTTGTGAAAAAATTGGTCCTTTCTGTGAAAAAAAAGTCTCTCTGAAATAAAAAACCTCAGTGCTGGTCGGAAATAATGGCTAAGTTATTGCACACCTCTGTTATCTCTAGTAAATCACATGTGCCTGCAAATTTCAGCTGACTGCCATTTCATTTTTCTTTATCTCTGCTTCATAAAACCAGGAATGCACAATAGTGGAGAAATAGTGTAAAGAATAAAAGTTGTTTTGAAGTTGCTTATCACTTTGTCAAATCCTAGCCGTTTGGGCTGACTTTTTTCATGCTTGCTACTTCTTAACCTGAAAGGTACATGAGGGCTGTTAAAGCAGAAAGGAGACAAGAAAACCAAACAGGGATGTGGATATCTTGAAGAAGACAGCAAAGACGACTATACAGCTCCTCATACTTGTTACTCTCACGTGTCTGCACAGACACCCCAGATCCCTCAGAGGTGCTGTTCTACCACCAATAAAACCTTGCTTAGTAAGGGCCATCGTCAGACCTGGGGCTCTGCAACACTAGGTATGGTGTGTTTGGCTGTTAAGGAATGCAGAAAGGATTTAGTAATGTAAATCCTTTTGTAGAGATGTGGAACTATGGAAGTCCCCAGTAGAGCTGGGAGGAGGCACAGACCTCATCATTTCCAACCTTGACTGTACAAAATTCTGCACTTACATTCTCCTCTTGCTCTCCAGAAGAGAGCACCACTGGCAGACGTTGGCAAGCCTGTTGTGATACATGCTTGAAGTGATACTGGTGTTTTTGCCTTCCATAGCTTGATGAAAAGTAAGTCTATCTTGCACAGCTCCCTGGCGGTGCACAAGGCTGTTCTCCTGTTTTAGGGAGAAGGAAGGCAAAAAGGAATTAAATTGCCAGAGGAGATGCATCTTTTTCTTTCTACGCATACCCATTTAAAAAAAAATCCTTTACTTTCCCACAACTGGGTTTGCTCTACTATAGATTTCTGTGATATGAATTTAAGTTGTGCCCTGCAGCTTTATGTTCCTGTCTGTTCAGCCATTTCAGGGTTGTTTCTCTAATGAAAGATCAGCTGTTTTAATTTCCTTACACAGTTCACCCTTCCCAGCTTCTGAGCTACCCTGGCTCTGTTTCAGCTGTTTGAAGTGCATTTCAATGACCAAGAACTTTGCCTTCTTTCCTGTTGTGCCACGACTTATTTTTCTTCTTTCAGTCCCTCAAGAACTTGCTGATAGCACTTTGGAAATCAAATATTCAGTATAGTCCAACCTTCTGCACAGCTAAATGCCCCTTGCTGTTTTCATTGAAAAGCTTTAAATTTAACTAGAAGGGTAGCAATTCCCTTTGTTTATAACCATAGCGTAACAAATTGTAGCCAATTGAAAACCATATTAGGTTGTAAAGTTGTATTATGACTGGCCGCTAACAGGGTGGCAATGTTTTTCCCGATGGTGATTTTCAGCCCAGTTGTTCCGATGTACCCAAGTGTAAAGTTATTAGGGCCATCTGCGGTTTGAGTCTGAGAAGAAAAGACCTTCGGATTTGTGTGAAGTGGCACTCCCTCAATCTGCCTGCACGTCTGCTGCTAAACAGGCAAGACAGAGAGCAAATGGAAAAATAAAGAAATCTCCTGCAAAGAAAGCTACTGAGACGTGGAGAAGTAAATATCTATATCAGCTGGATGGGATTTCAAATGGCGAAGAGCTGACCTCTAGCTTTGTGTTGGCTTCTAATGATGACTTCTAACAGTGCTACCTGCAGAGAACAAAGACAGTCCAATTAAATCCAGGCCGTTTGTATTTTTATCATAGAGATCGTACCAGAATCCCCACGCTCCTCTCCTTGACACAGAAATGCAGTGGGACTTTAATTATCTCAAGGATGAAGTGGGTTTTACTTAAACGTTCCTCCAGCAAAATGGCAATTGTTTCGTGAGTCTTTTTCTTTCAGGTGCATCTTCTGCTCCAGCCATTTCCAAGATACTGTGGTAGCTCCTTCTTCCTGCTAAGATATTTATGCCTTGTTTACTTTGACAGCTCCCTGTGACACCTGTGCATGGGGAACATGAGGAAAACAAGTGTTCTGTCAAGTGCCTCTAGTAATTTTTCTGGTTTGTCTCTTTCAGGTTTTGTATGACAGGAATGACTTTCTTTATAAATCATGTAAACTGTAGCTTGTTAATGGGTACTTTGGTATTAGGGACATCTCATATCAATTGCATGTTCTTTTCCAAAACATTTGCAGGAAGGATAACAGCGGAACCTTTAGTGAAAAATGTGACCAATTTTCTGCCCCATCAGTTGAAGCTTGGTTCACTTTAAATGCGGTGCAGAGCCATTGTCTTCCATTTCCTCCAGCTGCCGTTCAGAGCTGAGAGATTGATGAGCTGTAATGGGTTGAGCTGTTTTATTTAAGACCCTGTCTTTAACCATGTCCCTCTCCTTTCAGGAAGCTGTAGTAAGCACCTGGATTCAGTTCAGTGACAGCTCTGTTACTCCGCTGGACATTTATGACTCCAAGGACTTCTCCCTGTCTGCTGTATCATTAGACGAAGCTGTTGTCTCGATCCACCAGAACGCTGCCTTAAAATGGCCAGTTGTGGCAGCAGAAGGTGAAGGTCAGGGCACATTAATCAAGGTGGACATGATGATTTCTGAAGCCTGCCAAAAGTCCAAGAGGAAAAGTGTTCTGGCTGTGGGGAATGGCAACATCAAAGTCAAGTTTGGCCAGAATGATGCAGACTCCGATACAGGTGGAGATTATGATGCTGATGAGATTGAAAACCATGCTAGTGACCGGCGGCACAAAGTGTCTGATCAGGAACGGTATGGCCAGGATGGACGATATTATGGTAGCTCTTCAGCAGAGCGAGAGGAAGGCGCCATCAGGAAAGTCAGCACCACAGCAAAATCCGTAATAAAAAATAAAGTAATTAAAAACAACAGGCTGGATGGTGGTAAACTCTCGGACGATAGCCAGCTGCAGAACATTCCTATAGACTTCACCAACTTTCCTGCTCAAGTAGACCTGCCAAAAGGCAACGTGGGCATGGAGGAAAATGACCTGGTGCAGACACCCAGGGGCCTTAGCGATTTGGAGATCGGGATGTATGCTCTGCTAGGGGTCTTCTGCCTGGCAATTCTAGTCTTCCTAATAAACTGTGCAACATTTGCACTGAAGTACCGTCACAAGCAGGTTCTGGTGGAAGGACAGGCCACCATGACCCATTCCCATGACTGGGTCTGGCTGGGAAATGAAGCAGAACTGCTGGAGAACACAGCAGATGCATCACCTCAGCAGGATGAGCACACAACTATTATCGACCGAGGCTCGGGTTGCGAGGAGAGCAACCAGCTCCTCAATGGCAGTGCTCAGAAGAACATTCAGAGCCAGGTTCACAGGTGTGCTGACTCAGGGGGCAAGCTTGGAAAGGAACAGAAAACTGAACCTTTACATTCGCCGACATCTAAACGGAAGCGGGTAAAATTCACGACATTCACTACCATCCCACCCGACGATGGTTGTCCTACTGTCAACTCAATCCTAAGCAGCAATGACGATGACATTAAGTGGGTGTGCCAGGATATGGACCTGGGGGACTCCAAAGAGATACGAAACTACATGGAGAAGTTCAAAGACAAAGTGTAGCTCCTTGCTGGTTTTTTGGGTTTAACCACACCTTGATGCCTTCAGTTCTACAGTATATATTGGGACAGAAGAGTGGGAGGGGAAGGAATCACCAGGAGAAATGATGAGGCAGTTTTTATAATCAGGGAAAGAAATTTGCCAAACTGTCCATGGTTTGTTTTTGTTTTTTCACTTCGTTTTGTTTTTCCAGTGGTTATTCTGCTACTCATGGATTTAGGAAGTGGAATATAAATAGCAGAAGGGAACAAGGAAATGGTATGATCAGTATGATGAACTGGGCAAGATGAGGCTGTGAAAATTTGTTTTATGGGTCGTACAAACAATAATGATAGTAATGTTTCAAAGTACCAAAAATATTTGTAAAAAGAAGAGAGCGAATACAAGAGCATGAAAAGAATAAGCAGGAGACAAACAATAACTTGTCTGTATTTCTAATAAAACATCATAATTATGGACATATGACCCACAAGGAGACTTTTTAGATTGTTACTCAAGCTCTTTCTTTTTATTCCTTCATTTGAACTGAAGATGTGTCTTTGGCATTACATATGAAGGAGGAAGAAATTACCTGGTATTTTTATTTTGACTTTTCTGTTTGTCTTGTAAGTTGATACAGAATAATTTTCCCGTTTGTATTTTTCTTTTAAATATCTTAAAAACAGGAAAATTTTCAATTCACTAAGTTCACGGTGGACCAAGAACTTGTTCTTTCTAAGTTAGCTGTAAATAATCTCCTGTCATTTAAAGAATTCAGGGGATAAGTATTGACTAATAATTTCCATGTGATGTCTCTTCTGAAAGCCTAAGCCTCCGTTGTTTCACCCTAGCTAGAAGTATGTTCTGTTTGAAAGAAGTATTCATTTTACTTTCAGGTTTGGATTGTTTATTTAGTTCTTTGTTTTAAATTTCCACAACCAAAGTTCCCGTGTTTCACCGAGGGAAGAAGGTGCTGTTTTATGTTAGCTTTTAGAAGTAACAACTGATGGGAGTGCCCCACTGGTGCATTTTAAATGTACCTGGAACTGAGACCATCACAGGCCAAATATGTACAGCCTGGATTTTGTTTTTTTGCCAAGTCCATGAATTCATAATTTTGTTCTGTAATTTTCTGTTTATTTTAATGTCACCAGCTCTCATCAAGCTCTGAAAGCTAAAAGAAGAATGGACAGAAAGACACCGATTGTCCCCAAACTTTTATTTCCTTATACTGGGAGAGCTGGCCTCTGGACAGACTATTGGAAGGGAGGGAAATATTGCTGAAGGAAGATCAAGAAATATCTGGAGCTATTTTATAGTTTTGGGGGTTTTTTTTGCCATTGGACCAGCTAAGACTGAAAATTTTAGATTAGATTGTAAAGCTGGTGTTTTGAATAAACAAATACAAAACTAGTAATAAATCTGAAGCAAATAGAAAACTCGTAGATTCGTTGTGCAAGCTGGCAGAACTGTGTTGACTCAGTGCCAGTTTACACTAACGGAGGACACAGATCAAAATCTATACAATGAGGAAACAACTGTCATCCAAAACCTTTTGTAACTGAAAGGAAGGTGGCATATCCAGCCCGTTGGAAAGCAGTATTATGTCCTGACTGTTAGCCAGAAGCACTTGCATTGTCCTGTCCTTACCATGTTGGGGTTTTTTTATTACTAAACTCAGTAGTTTGTTGGGTTTTTTTTTACTTGGACAAAATCAATCCTGCCACCCAGTAACATAGATGGACGTTTTAACAAGATATGCCTAGTATGCATTGTAGACTGAAAGAATGTAATATTTATTTATACATGTTATACAAATTGTAATTAAAATGCTTTACATGGCTTGACAAATTAACCTCTCTTTTCTGAGGGCAGCGGGCTCCTTCTCTCATTTCGGTGTTGAAGTACTGCACCCACTGCCTAAGAGCTGAAACAAAATTTAAGCCACTTTCTGAAGAGAGGAGGCTAGAGATGTATGAAAGTTTTTCACTGCTCTGACCCTTCTGTTGTGAACCACTTCCCCTTCCCGCCCAACATGTGTTGGTGATGATGGATGGCAGGAGAAGACAGCAGTCAGGCACAGTTCATGGCAGTGTCACTATTCATCTTGTTCATCTTCATGCCTACCATCAGCACGAACAACTCCGGGACTCTTGCTTCTCATGTGTGCAACTTTTGTGCAGCCCAGTCATAATTAATTATGTTGTTTCTCTGATTGATACAGTGAGTTCAAATGGAAGCGAGTTTCACTGAATCACGGCTGACATGTACAAAGCACCCTGTATCCCAGAGGACCCCAAGCTACTTTACAAGCTAAGCACAGTGATGCATCAGCCACACCTCAGGGATCAGTGTATCTTCCTGGGAAAATGCAGGTGTCTCTGAGATGAAAAAGGCATTTACAGCACAGAGCTGCAAAATACAACAGTAGAGGAGCAGGAAAGATAGTATGGAGCAAACGTAATACACCACGGGAGCACAGAATGTAACGGTTCAAAGTGCGGGTGTAAGAAGGCTCTTAGTGTGCGGAACAGCCCGTTACGGCACGCGAAGGATGGCGTCTCCAGTAACCCAGTGCTCCCAAGCACTTTCTGGTGTGCTGGGACAGCGCTGGCTGGGAAGGAGAGTGGCAATTACTAAATCACTGTTTCTAGCCCTTGCACCCTGACTTTGCTCTTTGCTTTCGGCAGCTGAGGCTTTATAGGATCAGAAGAGAAAAGGGTATCTCTGTCCAACATAAACAGTTGGCTACTGAGAGGAAGCCTTGTGAGGAGAATTCATCTTGCTCTGTATTTTCATGATGACATGTGCGTGTCTGTCCTGGTCTTGCTATCTCGCCACATTGTCTAGGAAAAGTATTCCACAGTGAACGAAAACATTCCTAATTCACCTCCTCTCCAAAAAGCTCAAGTGCTTTTTTCAAGACAGGAAAACATGTCTTCATTGACATTAAAAGGGGGGCAAAATCGGTTTCCCATGAGACGCTATTTTGCAATTCCTTTTCAAAAACAGTGATGTAAATTTTTTTTGAAAGACACACTCCTGTATTAATGCAACTCAGATTGGATTTAACTCTGCTCCAAAGAGGAGCAGAGCTCTTCTAAGTAGGAAAATTGTAGCTTATTCATTATTTCAGTGTTCATTGAAATAATCACCGTTTTTTGCTTTTTGCTTATTGACTGCATGTATAGTTCTCGGTTGTCTGTAGATTCAGACTCAGGCAGCTTGTTTGAAATAACTACCCTTTGAACAAAATCAATTTAAACATACAGTGATGATCCTTGTGACACTGGCCAATACACCCATGATGCCTCCTTGGGAGCAGGATTTCACTGATGATTAGCCATGTGTCAGTTCTCAGGGACAGTATTTTGTAATTATATTTAAATTAGAAAAAATAGTCTCTATAGAGTCTCTCCAGGGTGGGTGGTTTCAGAGGCTTGCACACGTGGAGTCCATTGACCGCAGCCCGTAACCCTGCGTTGGACGCTTGCCGTTCACAAATACACACGGCATTTTACACGCTCTGCGGATTACCATGGACATTTGTTACGGTTCTGACTTTATCTTGTCTGTGCCATAATAATCACTTTGCAAACGCCGATGGTGACGCCCAACTGCTGCCGTGAGCTCGTGTGGCCAAAGGGAGAGGCTTAAGCAACAGTTTGTTAAGAGCTGCAGGACTCGGGGGCAGTCAGTGCAGCCACTTTCCCAAAGCAAATTAAATGGCAACATAACATGCCTGAAGCACGTAAAATGTTTTTTTCTGGTGTTTTTTTACTAACACATGCCTGTTATTGATGTCTTTTAGTTCCTGAATTGTCAATTAACGGACTTCAGCTAACCTCCGCATTGGCAACACGGTGGGTTTTAAAGCTGTAAGAGGAAGACACCTGACGTACTGCCTTGTCATAATATGACGTCATACTATAGCGAAGAAGAAGAACCACTGCTCCAGGTTCTGTACCATGTATGCGATAGTGGCTGAAATTTGGAAAATGTGTTCAGACAGGGCGTGATGTGTTTAACAACAGGCCTGCATGATGCAAGACCGGTGGTGGTTGGGGGGAAGAGGACTAGGGAAGCCTCTCCAGTCCCAATGTCCTGCTTCAACTATTCTGTTAGTCGCAACTAACAGCATTTCTGTCTAGATCCACACCTGCTGTAAATCTGTGCGTCTCCATTGAAGCCATCTGGTACAGCCATGCTAATTGACAGCAGCCGGGAGCCTGGACTTGTGATTTAATATATATGAGAAGTCCCTGACTCTTTAGGAAGAGTTTTACAGCTGCCTTGCTGTGTGATAGAACTGTGTTTGTATGCTTCCCAGGAAAATGGGTTTGTCCCTGCCGTGAAAGGGGGAGGAGATAAGGCTACCAGGGGTGCTCTGGAGACTTGGTCGAGGGCAATGCACACCTCTCCTGGCACAGCCTGCCTTCTTCCTCAGCAGCAGGATGCCATTTCTTTACTAACGCCTGCCAGCCTGGCTCTTCAGGATGTTGCTGCAAACAGAGCAGGGAGAGTGTCTCCGGATGCTCCCAGCAGCCTGCTGCGGTAGCTGCCTGCTGCCTCGGCCCGGGCTGGCTGAGCTGCGGAAGGGCTGCTGGCTTTCCTGGAAGTCTTGGCTGTGCTTCTTGTAGGTCTTAAGCCTGGAGGAAGCTTAGAAGAGGCCGTTGATTTTGACTCCTGTAACTCATGGCTGAACAGGAGCATGTCTTCAAAATCGCTTGGTCTTTGCAAAGGAAGACAGGCTATATTTGAAGAGACAACAGGGGGAATTAAAAAAGGGGGAAAGCTCAACCCTGCCTTCACTTTTAATTTTTCTGAAGCTACAGAACATGGTGCTTCAGAGACAGAGGCAGATACTGGAATTTTTCAATTTATCTTCCACTGACCAAAAATTCCATCAAAGCCCAATTCTGAGTGAGCCACTGTAAATGATCATCTAAGATCACCTCAGCAGGACGGAAACCACTGGGCTGTGAAATATCATTTATTTGAGAAATCACGTTGGGTCAAATGCC